TATAATTTTTTTAATTTTGTTTTAATACATATTTGCATAATGAACTGACATATTATGAATATTAAAGAGGTTTGAGACTTTAAATGTTCTCATTTTTCTAGAAAATAGAGATTTTATAGGGATAAGTACACTAATTAGATCTTACATGAAGTTTAAATAAATTACTCGTTGGAAAGTTAGAAATGATGACCATTTACTATGAAAATATGTTTAGACTACATTAATATACATTGAGAGTGTGGTTTGGTATTTTTATAAAGCGCTAAAGTGTCTAAAAATTATAGGTAGCATTTATTAGAAAATTCATTTTTTCAAAGGTGTTAACCCACATATTTCAAGAAAAATTAGAAATATTTTTATTTTTGTTTAATGCATATTTTCATCATACTCAGACATAGTTCGAAGATAAAATAGGTTTGAGACCTTATATGTTCCCCTTTCTCTAGAAAATAGAGATTTTATAGGGGTTAGTACACTAATTAGGTCGTATATGAAGTTTAAATAAATTACTCGTTGGAAAGTTAGAAATGATGACCATGTACCATGAAAATAGTTTTATCCTACATTAATATACTTTGAGAGTGTGGTTTGGTAATTTTAATCAGCACTAAAGTGTTTAAAAATTATAGATAGCATTTATCAGAAAATTCCATTTTTTAAAGGGGTTAACCCACATATTAAAAGAAAAATTATAAAAAATTTTATTTTTCTTTTAATACATATTTGCATCATAAACTGACATATATGTTCTCATTTTTCTAGAAAATAGAGATTACATTTATTAGAAAATTCAATTTTCTCAAAGGGGTAACCCACATCATTCAACAAAAAATAGATTTTTTTTTATTTTTGTTTTAATGCATATTGGCATCATGAACTGACATATTATGAAGATTAAACAGGTTTGAGACCTTCTGTGTTCCCATTTCTCTAGAAAATAGAGATTTTATAGGGGTTAGTACACTAATTAGATCGTATATGAAGCTTAAATAAATTACTCGTTGGAAAGTTAGAAATGATGACCATGAACCATGAAAATATGTTTAGCCTACATTAATATACTTTGAGAGTGTAGTTTGGTAATTTTATCAGCACTAAAGTGTTTAAAAATTATAGATAGCATTTATTAGAAAATAAAAAATTTTCAAAGGGGTTAACCCACATATTACAATAAAAATTAAAAAAAAGATTATTTTTGTTTTAATACATATTTGCATCATGAACTGACATATTATGAATATCAAAGAGGTTTGAGACTTTATATGTTCTCATTTTTCTAGAAAATAGAGATTTTATAGGGATAAGTACACTAATTAGATCTTATATGAAGTTTAAATAAATTACACGTTGAAAAGTTAGAAATGATGACCATATACTATGAAAATATGTTTAGACTACAATAATATACATTAAGAGTGTAGTTTGGTATTTTTAAACAATATTAAATTGTTTAAAAATTATAGATTGCATTTATCAGAAAATTCAATTTTTTCAAAGGTGTTAACCCACATATTTCAAGAAAAATTAGAAAATATTTTTATTTTTGTTTAATGCATATTTTCATCATACTCAGACATAGTTTGAAGATAAAAAAAGGTTTGAGACTTTATATGTTCCCCTTTCTCTAGAAAATAGAGATTTTATAGGGATAGGTACACTAATTAGATCGTATATGAAGTTTAAATAAATTATTTGTTGTAAAGTTAGAAATGATGACCATGTACCATGAAAATATGTTTAGCCTACATTAATATACTTTGAGAGTGTAGTTTGGTATTTTTAATCAGCACTAAAGTGTTTAAAAATTATAGATAGCATTTATTAGAAAATTCAATTTTTTCAAAGGGGTTAACCCACATATTACAAGAAAAATTAGAACTTTTATTTTTTTTTAATACATATTTGCATCATTAACTGACATATTATGAATATTAAAGAGGTTTTAGACTTTATATGTTCTCATTTTCTAGAAAATAGAGATTTTATAGGGATAAGCACACTAATTAGATCTTATATGAAGTTTAAATAAATTACTCGTTGAAAAGTTATAAATGATGACCAAGTACCATGAAAATATGTTTAGCCTATATTAATATACATTGAGAGTGTGGTTTGGTATTTTAAACAACATTCAATTGTTTAAAAGATATAAATAGCATTTATGAGAAAATTCCATTTTTTCAAATGTTTAACCCACATATTTCAAAAAAAATTAGAAAAAATTTTATTTTTGTTTTAATGCATATTTGCATCATTAATTGACATATTATGAATATTAAAGATGTTTGAGACTTTATATGTTCTCATTTCTCTAGAAAATAGAGATTTTATAGAGGTTATGACACTTATTAGATCGTATATCAAGTTCAAATAAACTACACGTTGGAAAGTTATGTATGATGACCATGTACCATGAAAATATGTTTAGACTACATTAATATACATTAATAGTGTGGTTTGGTATTTTTTAAAAGCGCTAAAGTGTTTAAAAATTATAGATAGCATTTAGTAGAAAATTCCATTTTTTCGAATGTGTTAACCCACATATTTCAAGAAAGTTTAGAAAAAAATTTATATTTGTTTTAATGCATATTTTCATCATAATCAGAATTATTATGAAGATAAAAGAGGTCTGAGATTTTATACGGTCCCCTTTCTCTAGAAAATAGAGATTTTATAGGGATAAGTACACTAATTATAACCTATATGAAGTTTAAATAAATTACTCGTTAAAAATTTAGAAATGAGGATCATGTACCATAAAAATATGTTTAGCCTACGTTAATATACATTGAGAGTGTGTTTTGGTATTTTTCAACAACATTAAATTGTTTAAAAATTATAGATAGCATTTATCTGAAAATTACATTTTTCAAAAGTATTAACCCACCTATTTCAAAAAAAAATATATATATTTTTGTTTTAATGCATATTTTCATCATTAATTGACATATTATGAATATTAAAGAGGTTTGAGACCTTATATGTTCTCATTTCTCTTGAAAAAATAATAGGGGTTAGGCCATTAGATCATATATCAAGTTTAAATAAACTACGTGCTGGAAAGTTAGGTATGATGACCATGTACCATGAAAATATGTTTAGACTACATTAATATACATTGAGAGTGTGGTTTTTTTATTTTTAAAAAGCGCTAAAGTGTCTAAGAATTATAGGTAGCATTTATCGAAAAATTTAATTTTTCAAAGGGGTTAACCCACATATTACAAGAAAAATTAGAAATTTTTTTATTTTTGTTGTAATGCATATTTGCATCATAAACTGACATATTATGAATATTAAAGAGGTTTGAGACTTTATAGGAATAAGTACACTAATTAGATCTTATATGAAGTTTAAATAAATTACTCGTTGGAAAGTTAGAAATGATGACCATGTACTATGAAAATATTTTTAGCCTACATTAATATACATTGAGAGTGTGGTTTGGTATTTTTAAACATTAAATTGTTTAAAAATTATAGATAGCATTTATGAGAAAATTCCATTTTTTCAAAGGTATTAACCCACATATTTCAAGAAAAATTAGAAATTTTTTTATTTTTGTTTTAATGCATATTTGCATCATTAATTGACATATTATAAATATTTAAGAGGTTTGAGACTTTATATGTTTTCATTTCTCTAGAAAATAGAGAATTTATAGGGGTTAGGACACTAATTAGATCATATATCAAGTTTAAATAAACTACGCGTTGGAAAATTAGGTATGATGACCATGTACCATGAAAACATGTTTAGACTACATTAATATACATTAAGAGTGTGGTTTCGTATTTTTAAAAAGCGCTAAAGTGTCTAAAAATTATAGGTGGCATTTATCGGAAAATTCAATTTTTCAAAGGTGTTAACCCACATATTTCAAAAAGAATTAGAAATTTTTTATTTTTGTTTTAATGCATATTTTCATCATAATCAGACATATTATGAATATTAAAAAAGGTTTGAGACCTTATATGTGTCCCTTTCTCTAAAGAATAGAGATTTTATAGGGGTTAGTACACTAATTAGATCGTATATGAGGTTTAAATAAATTACTCGTTGGAAAGTTAGAAATGATGACCATGTACCATGAAAATATGTTAATCCTACATTAATATACATTGAGAGTGTGGTTTGGTAGTTTTAAAAAGCGCTAAAGTGTCTAAAATTATAGGTAGCATTTATTAGAAAATTAATTTTTTTCAAAGGTGTTAACCCACATATTTCAAGAAAAATTAGAAATATTTTTATTTTTGGTTAATGCATACTTTCATCATACTCAGACATAGTTTGAAGATAAAAGGTTTGAGACCTTATATGTTCCCCTTTCTCTAGAAAATAGAGATTTTATAGGGGTTAGTACACTAATTGGATCGTATATGAAGTTTAAATAAATTACTCGTTGAAAAGTTAGAAATGATGACCATGTACCATGAAAATATGTTTAGCCTACATTAATATACTTTGAGAGTGTAGTTTGGTATTTTTAATCAGCACTAAAGTGTTTAAAAATCATAGATAGCATTTATTAGAAAATTCATTTTTTTCAAAGGGGTTAACCCACATATTACAAGAAAAATTATAACTTTTTTTATTTTTGTTTTAATACATATTTGCATCATGAACTGACATATTATGAATATTCAAGAGGTTTGAGACTTTATATGATCTCATTTTTCTAGAAAATAGAGATTTTATAGGGATAGATACACTAATTAGATCTTATATGAAGATTAAATAAATTACTCGTTGGAATGTTAGAAATGATGACCATGTACTATGAAAATATGTTTAGACTACATTAATATAACCATGTACTGTGAAGTCCTTGAACGCTGCTTTTGCTCCAGCGATTGCGTCTAAAATCTCTTGGGTTGCCGTTTTGGGAAATCATGACCAAGAATCTACGTTGACCCGACAAGATCTCATGAAACATGTCATAAAGCTTCCCAACACTTTCTCGAAAGTGAATCCTCCTGAGGCTGCTCATTACATTGATGGGTTTGGTAATAACAATCTCCAAATCCACGGAGCCGAGTCTACATAACAAGTCTGTTCTCAATCTCTATTTTCTCGACAGTGGAGATTACTTTAAAGTTGGTAACAGAAGAAGTTATGGTTTGATCAAAACTTCTCAGCAAATCTGGTATAACCAGACTTCAAAACGTCTCCAGGTATCATCAATAATGACTAACTAGTTTCGGACCATCTCGCCTGCTACCTTATTATTCAACTTTAAATTAATATGAAAATAAATAATTAAAAACTTAATAAACTTTTTGTGTTATCTATATAGAACGTAAATACTACTCTCTCTGTTTCAAATAGTTACATTTTCTAGGGAAAAAAATGTTTTAGAAGATGTATTTTTCTATTTCAAATGTATTTTTTATCAACTAATAATGAAAAATTGTAAATTTCAAAAATATTAATTACATTTTTTTAAGTTTTATTGGTTTAAAAATATATGAAATATAAAATTACAAAAAAACTATGCATTAATAACTAAATTCTAATATATATTTTTAATAAGTGTGAAAATTTAAAACATGTAATATTTTGAAACAGATGAGTACTTAAATAGATACTTTGAAAACTCAAATTGTTTTCCGTCTCATTGATATTGAACTCTGTTGTCTTAATTTTGATGATGATCACAGAGGGAATATAACTCAGAGCCTAATCCTCAACAAGGTACAGCTCCAGGACTAGCATACTTTCACATTCCATTTCCGGAGTTTTGGAGCTTCGACTCAGAGAACGCCACTAAAGGAGTGAGACAAGAAGAAACAGGCTCGGCTATTATAAACTCGGGTTTCTTCACCACGTTAGTAGCTAGAGGAGATGTGAAGTCAGTGTTTGTGGGTCACGACCATCTCAATGACTTTTGTGGTGAACTCAAAGGTTTGAATCTATGTTATGGTGGTGGGTTTGGATACCATGCGTATGGTAAAGCTGGGTGGGAGAGGAGAGCCAGAGTTGTGGTTGCTGATTTGAACAAGAAGAGTACAGGAAGCTGGGGAGATGTGAAATCGATTAGGACATGGAAGAGGCTTGATGATCAGCATCTCTCTGTTATTGATGATCAGTTTCTTTGGAACAGTTCTCCAAACTAATCAGTTTTTCCTCGTTTAATTATATGACTATGTCGTTAATGTTTCATCTGATTATAATAATTTGGGTTTTGTGGAAACGGATATCAAATAATCAAACTCTTGAATATTGTTTTGTCAATTCCTAATTTAGTTGTTGAACAAATTGCCCGTATAGCTCAGTGGTAGAGCGTCAGTCTTGTAAACTGAAGGTCCGTAGTTCGATCCTGCGTGTGGGCACTTTTTTTTAGTTTTCCTTTCATCATATTTTGATTGACATCAGTTTGAAAGCGTATATATGAAAATATGTTTCTTACTTCAGATCTTCCTTGAAATCTTGTGTTCTTGAATTCTTGGTTTATCTCGGTGAGACTGATGATGATGGAAGCTCTCTCCGGTTAAGTCACGTACGTACGTATAGGTCCTCTACTCCATTGACGGATCTTAAATGGGGGAATAAGAATTTTTGGTCCGATTGCCTTCATTGGTTAATCTTTTTACATATTTCTTTTATAAGAACTCAATCTTGTCAGATAAAGCTGGTATTCGATGTTTTAACTTCATTGAACATTCGGTAACATTACTTATCATAGGGCTAACGAACTTTTTGCTTTTGAATCAAAGATATATTCTTATGTACGAATCAAATCAAACACATGAATTTAACATACCTATAGGTTATCTTCTGTCAGAATAAAGAAAAAGGCAATCCAAATCCACATCGGATATTAGATAAAATAAAGTCTAATGTATAGCTGGTCCAATCCCATTTAGTAGGAAGCTTTTTGAGAGTAATGATTAAAAAAAAATCCGTGAGGGTTTAGACCCAAAACAGACAATATAATATTAAGCGAGGGATTAGACATCTGGTGACGGACGTTTGGCTCTAGTTGAGCGTCTGGCCTCCAGCACGGACATCCGATCCAGCTCTAGTAGAGCATCTGGTTCAGGAGTGCATCCGGTCTGTCACAACATCTTCACATTTTTGTGAAATATCAAAAAAAAATAGATGGAATATATATAGAGAGAGACCCATATATATATATATATATAAAGAGAGTAGAGAAAAAAGCATGAAACTCATCGTAAATCTCATGGTAGTGTCGGAGAAATGATTAATCTAAACATCCTTCTCACAATACCAGCAAAGATCCAAAAAAGCAAGACTCTCGATTGGATTTTTCTTAACTCTAGTGAATAAGACCTTTTCTTGTTTTATCTCGAATGTTAGATAGCTAATTTGTGGTCGTTCTATGTTCAAATTTTGAAGGAACGACCTTATGGCATTAACTCATTGATTTATATATAAACACGTTTCAAGACTTTTTAAAAAGAAAAGTAAAAGTCTTCCATGAAATTTCATGGTCTCTTTCCTTTTGGCTTCTTCCTACATGCAATTGCTTATAAACATTTCTGCAATGTGAGACTAGAGACTACAATCAAATCCACCTTATTGATTTTCTTGGTGCCATAACAATGGCGAACAACAAAAGAACATCCATGTTCGACTTCTCTCTTTTCTCAATGTTTTTTGTTAGTCTCTGTCTAGCTACGGTTTCGACATCAGCACATGGTCGGAAACTCAGTTTCAGCGTGAACGGCCAGTTCAAGATACTACAAGTAGCGGATATGCACTACGCAAACGGCGCCACTACTCGGTGTCAGAATGTTCTTCCTAGCCAGTTGGCTCACTGCTCCGACCTCAACACCACCGCCTTCATGTCGCGAGTCATCGCCACCGAGAAACCTGACCTCATCGTTTTCACCGGTAAATTTCCCATTTTGAAAACCCTAATTTCTTTATATAGAAATAGTTATTAGAATAAGAGAAAGTAGGTCTGGGCGTTTTTAACTAAACCCAAAACACCGACCTTAACCGGAACCGGAAAAACTGAAACCGAATCCGAACTGTTTTACAAAAATATCCGAATGAGACTTATGAGCATAGTAATTTGATCTTTGGTTATAATTCGAACCGAGCAGAAATTCGAATTAGGATCCAAAGATATCCGAAATTAGCTAAATATGTTAATGTTTATATATATGTTAAAGTGATTTTGTGTTCAAAAAAAAAATGTTAAAGTGATTTAGGTATTTTAAAATATTCAAAATATTTTTGTAGTTTGTTTTATTTGTTATTTTGAATACTTTTTAGTTAATTTAGATAGTTTAACTAATTTTTAATTAGATTTTTAAATAATTTATATATTTTGAAAAAAAATTGTCAATTTTCAAGGTTTAAAAAAAAATATGTTTGGACGATTTTAAAGATCCGAACCAAACCCAGAAGGAACTGAACCGAATCCGATTCGATAATTAGTAAAAACCAAATGATACTTATGAGCATAACACCGAAAATTCAGAAATTCGAATCACTCATATCGCCACCGAATAGACCACCGAACGCCTAGGCCTGAGAGAAAGTGAGCTTGAGCGCAAGGAAGGAGATAAAGTTTGTTACATTTTATTATTCAGATAATGTTTTTTTAGTTGAATTATTCAGTTAATCTTCACAATCTATTGTTCATGGAAGGACTCAAATCTTTCCTAAAAAGACTCTTTTCTAAATGGCAATTTTTAGTGGTCTAATAACTACAACATTAATAAATAATAGAAAATAGTTATATAATTAAATAAGAATATTATATTTTCTCTGTTTTACATTAACTAAAAGTGAAGACATATTAAAAAACAATTATTTTGTAGATTTTCTATATAAAAACACAATTACCTATACACATAACCATATTTCAACCAATTGAAAAATAAATTATAATATAAATTAATAAATTTTGCGTTGAAAATCGAAAACAATATTTATTTTGTAACAAAAAAATTTCTTTACAACAGTGAAACAGAAGGAGTATATTTTTGAGAGACTCTATTACAATACACCATTAGTGATGCTCTAACATCTAACATATAAATTGTAACTAGCTAACCGGTTTACATTATACATAACCGGTATATTAATCTAATAATTGATTATTTTTACGGTTTTTGTATGCGTTCTCAGGTGATAATATATTTGGGTCTGATGTTAAAGACGCTGTGAAGTCCTTGAACGCTGCTTTTGCTCCCGCAATTGCGTCTAAAATCCCTTGGGTTGCCGTTTTGGGAAACCATGACCAAGAATCTACGTTGACCCGACAAGAACTCATGAAACATATCGTAAAGCTTCCCAACACTTTGTCGAAAGTGAATCCTCCTGAGGCTGCTCATTACATTGATGGGTTTGGTAATAACAATCTCCAAATCCATGGAGCTGCTGAGTCGAGTCTACATAACAAGTCCGTTCTTAATCTCTATTTTCTAGACAGTGGAGATTACTTTAAAGTTGGTAACAGAAAAAGTTATGGTTTGATCAAAACTTCCCAGCAAATCTGGTATAACCAGACTTCGAAACATCTCCAGGTATCATCAATAATGACTAACTAGATTCGGACCATCTCGCCTGCTACCTTATTATTAAACTTTAAATTAATATGAAAATAAATAATTGAAAATTTATTAAACTTTTGTGTTATCTATATAGAAGTAGATACTACTCCCTCTTTTTCAAATAGAGACATTTTCTAGGACAAAAAAATGTTTGAGAAAGATGTATTTTTTCTATTTCCAATGTATTTTTTGTCAACTAATAAAGAAAACTTGTAAATTTCAAAAAAATTAATTACATTTTTTGAAGTTTTATTGGTTTAAAATTTATGAAATATAAAATTACAAAAACCTATGCATTATTAACTAAATTTTAATATATATACTTTTAATAAGTGTGAAAATTTAAAACATGTATTATTTTGAAACAGATGAATTCTTAAATGGATACTTTGAAAACTCAAATCGTTTTTCGTCTCATTGATATTGAACTCTGTTGTCTTGATTTTGATGATGATCGCAGAGGGAGTACAATGAAGAACCTAATCCTCAACAAGGTGCAGCTCCTGGACTAGCATACTTTCACATTCCATTTCCGGAGTTTTGGAGCTTCGACTCAGAGAACGCCACTAAAGGAGTGAGACAAGAAGAAACAGGCTCGGCTATCATAAACTCGGGTTTCTTCACGACGTTGGTAGCTAGAGGAGATGTGAAATCAGTGTTTGTGGGCCATGACCATCTCAATGACTTTTGTGGTGAACTCAAAGGTTTGAATCTATGCTATGGTGGTGGGTTTGGATACCATGCGTATGGTAAAGCTGGGTGGGAGAGGAGAGCCAGAGTTGTGGTTGCTGATTTGAACAAGAAGAGTACAGGAAGCTGGGGAGATGTCAAATCGATTAGGACATGGAAGAGGCTTGATGATCAGCATCTCTCTGTTATTGATGATCAGGTTCTTTGGAAGAGTTCTCCAAACTGATCAGTTTTTCCTCGACATAGTTAATGTTTCATCTGATTATATAATTTGGGTTTTGTAGAAACGGATATCAAATAATCAAACTCTCGAATATAATAAACTGTTTCCGTTTAACGGTTAGATTCGGCTAGACAAACTTAAGTTACTTTTTTTTATAACACTGATTGTTTGACTTATTCATGAAATGTAACATGTGATACAAAGGGAAGAAATAAAAGGGATGTCAATAGACACCTACAACAAGATAAAAGTAAATTCACTAACATAACCCCTTACATTTGGGCCTCTAAAAGCGAGAAGATGATGAAGCCACGCCGGAGCAAGTCTAGCGATATACGACTGGTGGCACTGATCACGGGTGACACTTAGAGCGATTGCCGCAGCCGATTCATTGCGTTCCTGGAAAGCATGTTCTAAACTCCATGTGTCTATCCTTGCTAGAAGAGCGATGATATTGTGGCGGATGAGGTTGAAATCATGGATTTGATAATTCATATATTTTAGCATCACTTCCATATATTTTTTGAGTCAAAGAAGGCAATAACTTGGCGCTAACATGTTACTGATATTGTTTTGTTAACTTATAATTTAGATGATGAACAAATAGCCCGTATAGCTCAGTGGTAGAGCGTCAGTCTTGTAAACTGAAGGTCCGTAGTTCGATCCTGCG